CACTCTCCCAGAATCAAACCCATCTCTCACACGTGAAGGATATTTGCATGTTTTTGCTACTGTATTGTTTATTGTTAATTATTCTTTTGTAACTTTTTGTCCACAAATTTTCAATCGGTAGACATGGCTGTTCAGAACTGCATCGGTGATTCATTCAGAGGGGCAACATGGGTGGCTCTACACAACGGAGGAGGGGTAGGCTGGGGAGAAGTGATGAATGGTGGATTTGGTCTCTTATTAGATGGTAGTGATCGTGCTTCCCAAAGAGCACAAATGATGCTTGCATGGGATGTTTCTAATGGGGTGAGGAGTCATTTTTTTTTCTCATTCTCAAATACATCCCAGTATGTATTATTTTTTACTTGTATAAAATATTTACATTTCTTATATTCATATTACTTTTGTGTATTAAATGTATTTTTGTAAATTGAAATGACTTTCCCTTTCTCATTGATATTTAAATCGATTCAATTTAAATATCAATCTGCTATAATTGTTGAATATGAATAAGTCATGAGTTGTCAATTTCGTAAATGGCAGCAATAGTAGCTGCATTTAGGATACAGACAGACTAAAGAGTCAAGCTAGGCCGGTTAAGAAATTTGATGCAGTATCTAAGTTAGCTGCTGGTCAACCCACGTAGTGTGGCTTGTACAGATGTAAGGCCTACACTGTGCTTGAATAACGCCTCGCTTGAGTGCTAGTTTGAATTTCGCCTCACATCAAATATACACTTCTTATAGAAGCCCTGACTCTGGCAGGCTCTCATGATAAAGTAGCTGTCACTGATTGTCAATTTGTCAAAGGAGATTAAATTTAATTACATTTTTTTATCGGTTGCTCTGAATATAAAAATTAATTTCTGATATTCTTGACTTTGTTATTTCAAAAAGATTACAGTAACGATTTACTTTGTTTTGGTAGGTTGCTAGAAGAAGCTGGAGCGGGAATGACAATGCTATAACAACAATTCGAAGGGCCATGTTGAAAAATGATAAACTGAAAGTGACATTACCAAATTACGTAAAAAATGGTGACCTGCTAGATAGGGCTTTCCAAGTGTAAAGCTCTTAAGCCAGTCACTCGTTGCACCCGACGGCCGTCGGCCGATGCGATTCTATGAAGAACGCAACGCGACGATGCGTGCACAACGGGTCGTATTTAATGGCGATCTGTTCAGACTGGCACCGACAATCGGGAGACGGTGTTTCGTGGTCTAGCGCATACGGAAGCGGAGTTAGATTCGACATTCGACGGTCGTACAATACAGTGTGTGCCCGGCTTTTGACTATTAAAAAGGAATACAAACAGCTCAAGTGTAAACCCATAGTTTATCAGGTTTTATTAAAAGGAGTTTCCCAACGTACCTAGATGTCCTAGTAAGGTTGATGGGTAACACTTTTGTGGCA